GCGGCGCAGGTCGACGTTACCGGAGAGAAGTTGGAGGGAAAAGGAAGAAAAAGATGTAAAATTTCCGCCCGACGATCCAAGGTGGGGACTTCCTTTCGAGGCAAACCACTCTGGAAATGAAAGAGCTCTTCAGCTCGATCCGGAGATTGGACACGTCCGGCCCTGCCGATTGGCTCTCGTCCACGATCTCGCGGTTATGCGAGAGAATAATTAACGTCGAAGATTGCGCGGAACGAAACGTACTTGCGGAGGTGCATGCACTGCTAGTGCGGTACGTGCGGGGAGACTCCGCCGGCTAATTGGGATATAAGAGAAAAGGGAAAATCGGAAGGCCGCCTTTTTATACTTTCGACTCGAGTCCGGACCCCTACGGACACATGGTCCCTAATGTCCGAGAATTTTAATTAAAAATCCATATGTGTGTAATTAAAACCCGCAGGCCGGTCTTGGCAGGCTCGACGCATATTAATAATCCCAATTTTTTCGAGGATAACCTATAAACATGTCCTGCTCCCGAATTAATTACACAGTGCATGTCGGTGTGTCCCTGACTCAGGATTTATTCCAAATCATCGGATATTCAATTATATTCTTATTGTATATTATGTATCAATGTGTACATGTTTTTATGAGTGCATTCCAGGAGGAGGTCGAATCGCACGTGGTCCCTCTTTTTGTGCAGAGGCCTACGTAGGAACGAATTAATAATTGAAAATTCATTAATATGCATTAAGAGTTAAAGATTAATCAATATATCGGCGCCTCCTTGTCTTCGAGATTCACTCGAAAATTGCCTGCTTCGATTATGTCATTATTGTGTGCTATGTATGTAGATAAACACGTTTTCCTGTGTACATTCCTGCACGCAAGGAAGAGATCAGATCGCACGTGGTCCCTCCACTTTTTCTCGGTCGGATGCTGCAAAGACCCGCGGAGAAGCGGAGAGGATCGGAGAGGGAGAATGCGTCTCGTTATCGGAAACGTGGCAGCTGTCGCTGATAGTGCAGCCGAGAAAAGAAGCCTCGCGAGACTGAACTGCCCTTGACTCGAGATATCGCGATCGAAGTCGATCGACGTTATTAAAAGAGCGGAGGAGGTCCACGTACGATTTCCGATTCCGATCTCGAAGTGCACTTTCGAAGCAGCCCGAATTTAATCTTGATACAGAGGCGAAAGTTCAAAATGTCGAACCACCGATGCACCTCTCGGGAAATTCCAATTAATGAAACGCAGGTTGGTAATTTCGACGACTGATGAACTTGATTTGAACGTAATAGAAAATGCCGCGGGGTTATTAAATGACATATTTACGGACACGGAGAGGAAAGCGCGAATCTCTATGGCGAGCAAATAGACGGGTAAACAGTGGCGTAAATGTCACGATATTGAATTCAATGAGTTGTATGGTGAAAAGTGCAGTGGCTTTGAAATCGATTACGGCATTTGGTGTCCCCTGTATCGAATGTTGAATTAACAACGCAGGACAGAGTGACGCGGTAAAGCCGCGCCGTTCAAAGGGGAGTTTCGTCGGTCCACGAAAGGCCTCGTTATTCAAATCAGGCGCCAGGTAATAAAGTAAATGACAAAACGGTAAAATAGGAAATTTCTAGGGCAGGCAAAAAGGGGAATTAATTCGACCACGCGGGGGAAATGACAATTAGGTAAATTAATACGAGGAACGTCCTCACTTTCGCGTAACTCACGATGGAACTCGATCCTATTGACCGGCAAGTTAATCCATTTTCCAAAAGACTCATATTCCAAGAGACATTCTCGGAAAGGTGGAAGGTGGACTCCACTTGGCAGCCTGAGGTCGAATTACATGACGACTTCTCCGCAACTCTTGTCGATACTCTAAGTAATTAATTTATTCCTAAGTATCGATACTCCCGACGAGTTTATATACATATATATATATTTTTTTGTTATCGTACCATTTTCCCACCTACTCCATAGTTTTTATACAGTTGATCGTTCCATATAAATTCGTGGATAGATATTTCTTTTTCATCGAATTTACACTCGAGATAATCACGGGCTTATATAAAATAATTGACTGAATTCTATGGTGCCTTTAACCACCCTTTTGTAATCACATGCAATTTCCACTCTGGAATGACTAAAATTGCCGAGCTGCGAGCCATTTCCAGGGTTTTATCGAAATTTCTTGCAGCTCCGACAAGGTTCCATCAGCAAGCTTCTTGCACCTTTCGGCATTCTTGCAGCCCTCGATCGAGGGCCAATTCCGTGGGGTGACACTCGGCAGGGGGGTGCCATTATCGGGGCGAAAAATGCACGGCGAAGTCAGGCCGAGAGAAGAAATCGCGTGAGACGCGATCGATCGAGGTCTCACGCGTGGATTCCCTCGAGGAAGCGTCGAAGAGTTTCCCTGCTGAATGGATTTCGAAAAGGGGTGGTTCGGTAGAAAGGGCGGCTAGGGTGGAAGGGTACCATTATGCGGTTTGTTAGGGCGGACCGCGCGCCACATGCATGTGCAACGACATCGGTGTGGCGATATCGATGAGGTATCGGTGTGGTATCGATGTGGCGACATCGGTGTGGTATCGATGTGGCGATATCGGTGTGGTATCGATGAGGCGATATCGAGGCGATGTCGGTGCACCGATACCGGGGATGCACCCTGACACTCCGCTCGTGTGGACACGGGAACACGTGCGAAAGCACACGCGAGCTTTGCGTGGTTTATGCGTCCCACATTTGCGAGCGAGCCGCAGCCAGGTACTATTAATTAACCAAAACAGATTATGGTCAGGGTGGGAGATTGTATACGGATCGTAGTAACGATGCAGGTGCATCGCACTGCAACATGCACCTCGCGGAAGGGCGTGTCGGCCCGCCGATAAATATGCCGAAGCGTGAACGGAAACGACTTTTTCCGGCCCGGGGGACGCGGGTTAATCAGCCGATTGGCCTGGACAAATTGTTGGGTCCAGTTTTGCCCACGGATGGAAAAATCCCGATTTCCCTGGAAAGTCAATCCCGAAACTAGTCCGCGACTTTCCGGCAGAACTTCCGAGGAATGGCTCGCCAAGTTTCCACCCTCGCTAAACTTTCGGGATATTCCTGGTGACTGGGCATGAATATTTTTGCGGATCGAGTAGCATTCGCATCCCGAGGATGCACTCTTCAAGGTACTCCTTATTGCTCCGGTTTGCACATGAAATTTATTTACAAGGAATTCCCAGATTCTCAACGGGGACTTGCATCCGTGGTTATCGTGATGGCTATTAGGAATATTTTTGAGAATTTAATGGAACTCTTCGAGGTACCTTTCTACCGGTCCAGTTTACGTTTATTAATTGATTATTTTTTTTAATTCCTGAATTTTTAACAGACGTTGGTTTGGATTTCTGGTCGTTATGAAGGCGCTGTTTGATAAGCCGTGGTATTAGCGGATTCATTTAGGAATCGTCGCTCTTCCTCGGTTTTCCATTCTTCTCGGGTGAGATCGGTTGTAATCTCTCAGCCTGGTTCGTGCACTTTCAAGAAACGACGTCGTCCCCTCTTTCTCTTTCTCCCGAGTTTCCCTGACTGGCTGAACGAGAGATAGTGGCCTGTTTACATCGGACAGCTATTCGAATATAAACTCCCATGGCCGATAAGGTTCGATGATTTATGGAAGGCTACGATAAGTCGGTGTCGGCTATGCTCCACTGGCGTAACTCCTCGCGAGAGGGCCGAAGAGCTTGCCAGGAAAAGTCGAGCGGAAACCAGATAGAGGGTGGTCCAGGGAAGATGAGATGCTGCGAAGAAAAGGGGTGGAAATCATCCAGCAAAACCGCCGACTTCGAGTAAACCGATCCAAAGTGCAGATTTTTCGTAAGCACTATCTGGAACCGATGCACCGATTCGTCATTCGATATCTTTTTCTCGATTTTTCCCAAACAATCAATCGAATAAAATCGATCGATCGGGAAATTTGAAACTCCCCGATCTCACAACAAAAAAAAAAGAAAAAGACATTGCTATGCCCGCCTTTAACTGGTCCCCCAAAAATAATTCCCTCGCTTCGTCTTCAGGAAATTCCGATATCACTTATCACAATTATTCCGCCACTTGTCGGAAAGAAAAAAAGTTCTCGCGTCACTTGTCAAGGAAATAACGAATCCCTGGAAAGTTGACGTCGTTTTAACGTTAATTTACGCACACCGTGCGTGAAGGGGATAATTATTTCAGAGGCAGTGGGTCGAGGAAAAATGTGGCCTATTTTTCTTTTTTTTTTTTTCACCGCGGAAAGATTTGCATGGAAATTAGAGGGAAATATGCGTCATGTGTCGGAGTCGTAAACTGGACCGTGGGCAAAGTTTGTACTTGAATAATTTCGTCAGGGGAATTCGGCCGGAGGAGGAGGAGCGGTTCTAACTGAATTAGGAGTTAGGTTATCTCTGGGGTTAAACACCGACTGCGAATAGAATTTCTATTAGGGATATGTTTCAAACAATCGCGGCTCGCGTGGTTTAAGTAAATCGGGGAAAATCATACGTTCGAGCTGGTTAAACAGTCCTGCAAATCTCGAATGCGCATCGAATTAAATCCCGCCGGCCAAGCACGCACGTTTCAGCCCTATGTATCCTATCCCCGCATTTTGCATCGCAATCAGCACACGGAATACCGACTTAATTAATTCCGATGCGTTTCTACGATTTTCACGTGAACGTGAGGTCGGTCATTGGATAAAGGCCCGATTAATTCCACTGGTATAAAAAGTGACGAATGTCCCCCGTAAATTCTCACGTGACTCTAAGGCGTTGAAGAAGGGCGATTTGGCGAGATTTATTAACAATGTTAATTAAAATTCAGGTTAATTCAGGTGTTACTTCCGAGCGGTTCGATGCGTCTTCAAAGACGCGAGTGAAATTAATAATTACAGGCAAACGAGGAATTATGATAATCGAAAGATTATGAGGAAACTGAGGAGGAGCGATGGGAGTATTAGGGTGTTCTGGATAAGTTGATGACACGTCGTGTGGATTTTTCAGGGGGATTCCTCGGGGACATCGCCCTGCCCAATATCGAGTACGAGACCGAGTGGCGGCAGCAGAAGTTAAATAAAAGCTACCTGGAAGAGCTGGAGAAGTACAGAGACGAGGTCATCAAAGAAGGACTACAGGTCGAAGAGGAGGGCTTAACCGGTGAGCTTTTTCCCGTAATCACTGAAGTCCTCCCGAAGAAGGGAGAGCGGATCAAGTCGACTCTTCTTGCTCGTCAAGCCCGAGTGGACTCATGGAAGGCCACTAATGGTAATCAATTGTGCCTCTTAGAGATCCTGCAGTTCAAGAACGAGCACTACCTGAACAATGGCCCTCGCAAGGAGGAGTCCTTGGGAGCTTTAGGGAAATCCGAGCCCGTAATCGTGGACCGGAATCAGTACAGCACGGTGGAGGAATCCCACCGGCCGAAACACGACGAACACCCCGAAATCGAGGACCGCGGCTTCGAGTTCAGGTAATCGCACGACCACCCCCTAGAATCTTATTCAAATAAATTGTTTGCTCGAGGCGCCTCCTCCGCGTATTTCAGAAATTTTCATAATCTCGCCAGGGGACGCTTCGGGGACGGTGCAGGATTTTTCATCTCGTCGTCGAGCTTTGAAACTGAAGTGCCGGTAAATTAAGCTCCGAGCGTAAGGGCGCGATGGGTCTCTTGTCAGCCTTATTGAAATTCCTATTCTGAATTCCTATGCCCGGGGGTTTTAATGGATTCCCGAAGCAGGAATTCCCGGAACATTTTCAATAACGTTGCGACTCCTCCCGAAACTCTTGGACGAGTCTTTTAGGCCCCGTGGACACGTGGGTATTATTCCGAAATTCCCATTTTGGAGTACCATGGATCGGATACGAAACGACGCAAATACCGGAGATCTCTGCATATCTTTTTATACACAAGGAACGTTATTCGCGTAATAGAGACATGGCGAAGTCAATTCTTGGAGATATTTTGTATACAGAGCCTGTGGGGCAAAATAAAAAAGATGAGCCAGAGATTTGAGAGGTCTCAAAGGGAAATGTCAGAATCGCCCTAAATCGTAGGAAGAAAAAAAAAAAAGAGTACTTGAAACAACATTGTTTAATTATGTATTATTTTCATTTCTTTGTCTATTTGAACGTTGGCCTGGAAACGTATGAAAATTCTTCATATTAAATATCAAAACTGGACGTTTCTTCTCGTTTTTCATTTCTGCGGCGAAAACACGCACCTGTGTGTCGGGCTTGAGAGCCTGGGAATGGTTTGCCGATAATTCTGAGGGTCTTCCTGGTTATTTTCAGGCTCGAGGCGTCGACCGCGAAGACCGCAAGGACGCGGCACTCCGATCGCCGAAGTGGCCACGGCCGTCGCGAGTCCGCCAATCATGGAGACAAGACGACCACGACTCCCCCAAATGATCCAAGATCCAGAGACGCCGATCATCGCGATCTCCAGACCGAGACCTCGACCGGGGACCCTTCCACCTCCGACCTCCAAACCACCGCGGAAACCAGGTCCAAGCGACGCCACCGGAGCCACCATAAATTAAGGTACTTTAAAGTGGCCCAACTACGCAATTAACGACAATTACCTCTCCACGCGACGCGTCGAGCCTACACACCTTTCATGATGCTCTTCAAGGTCTTCGAGGAAACGCCTGGCCTGAATTCCCCAATTTAGTGAACCCTCCGCTGGCAAGAAAACAAGAAATGTCATTGAACCGAAGAAATACTCGGTTGTCGGAAAAGTTATGACGCGTTTTCGTAACAGATGACACAGAAGAGATGCGTCATGACTTTTCCGATAACCCAATACTTCGTTAATTAAAGGAATAATTATTTCCCTGGAATTAAACTCCAGTAAATTGACGGGAACATTTCTTCGGGATTGTGAAAATTACCTCCAGTTTGAGTGGAGTCATTTTATTCTTCTTAATCGACACGGTATTCCTTTGGTGGAATTCGAGGTAATATCTCTTTGGTTCGATGAGTTATTCTTTTTTTTTTTTTTTCTGTAAGGGTACGTTCGTTTTATATCTTGTTATGCAATATTCTGTGAGCTTTTTCCATTTTTTTTTTTGGTTCGGGGAACTGTCTTTAAACGCCTCTCGGAGGTGAGTCGGAAAGGGGTCGACTTTAGTGGCGGGAATTTCGCAAATTGACCGCCATTTCCCTGACACCGGTCTCCGGGAAACGACGCCCGGGCAGGTCCTCAGGGCGGCATAAATGCATCGCGAAGATATCGCGAATTTGTCATCGAGTTTTTCCCGCTTAACCCAGTTCCTGACGGGTGATTAAATTCACCACGTGACTCGGTGGGCGCGCACCTACTCTGTCCCGTCGTCCTCTCGCACATCCTCTTTGCCAATAACAAAGCCCATCATCGTAAAGCGGGAAATGGGGCCCGATACTGCCGGTCGGAATTCGCGCGCATTTTCAGCCCTCCAACTGCCAATAACCTGTCAGCATCAATACCAAACGCTCGAGGAAGCGCGGTACCAGTCGACGAGCTCTCCGACACTTGCGAACACGGTGACGGTCTGGAAGAGCACGCTCGATTATGGAACTGCGTCCTCGACGGAGCCACTCGCCCGATAGCGACTTGGCTGCTCCTGCATCGATATACGATCGGTGCCACTAACTGGAAGTGGTTACCAGAACTGCGGAAATTTCGGAAACGCGTTTTACTTCACTGAATGTTCCATGAAGCTTCTACACTATTTTTGGAATTATGGAAATTACTCGTTCATCTCCAGAGAAAAAAATGATAAGTTGTATAGTTGCGACTCGGTTGATTTTGCATCGATGTACGATCATGATAAGATCGATACCACTAACTGGAAGTGGTTACCGGAACTGCGGAAATTTCGGAAACGCGTTTTACTTCACTGAATGCGCTATGAAGCTTGGACACTATTTTTGGAATTATGGAAATTGTTCGTCCCCAGAGAAAAGAATTATAAATTGTATAGTTGCAACTCGGTTGATTTTGCATCGATGTACGATTTGATAAAAACAATACCACTGATCGAAACTAATTTCAGCTTAACAAATAATAGTGAAGTCTGAACAAAATTGTAGGATTCAAAGGAAATGATTGAGCATTAATTTTCATGAGAAAAAAAGAAAATTGATAAGCTGTGGGATGAGATTTCATCCCGCGGATGCGGTAGCCGGGAATTTTTGCATTCGTTAATTTGTCATCACCCTGACCCGGTGTATCCATAGGACTATGCAATATGTATTATCCGCGTGCACTCGGGAATTCAATTTCGCCGCAATATTTGCACCTCACGTCGGTGGGTCCATTTTCGGGATCCTATTGATATCACGGTAAATCTCTTCAATTTGCATATATATGAAATATTGAGCTGCGGACATGGGCGATACTATTGACGTCTACTGGACGTCGGTGTCTAGGGTGAACGAACGTGGATTGCTGCGATTTTCCAGGATTTTTCGGACCAGATCGAACTTTCAGACGATCCGTAAAATATGTCCAAAGGGGCCATTAATCTTCTCATCGACGGATTTCCTCGCTCCATAAACGCCATTCATGTCAAAATTGTTTACCATACAATTTCAACCGATTGTCGCCATTAATCCTATCAGTCCCTGCCGCGAAAGGCGAAATATGCACTCGTATTTCTTTCATAAATTCCAAGTCAATTTCATCGTAATAAAAAATCTGGAAAAATGGAAAATAAGTCCTAAACCCAAGGGGAATGTGAAAGATTATGGTTTTTTAGACTCCCTGGGCGAGGTCAAATCTCCAGACAGGACATAAAACGCGTCTCGGTATGGCAGACTTCGGTGCATTGAACTTCATGATCGTCCATGAATCTCGTTGCCCTTTGTGCATTGTTTTCACTTGGAAGAGACATATCAGCAATTTTAATCACGCGTCGCATTTCAGAATAAAAAGGTCGGCGCAGGTTTTAACGCTATCGGGGGGCCCCTTCTTAAAGGATAATTTAATTCTTTACCCTGGAAATTCCGGAAGGACGAGTCGGCTTAATTAGTTTGTTCAGCGATGTCGATGCAGGAATAAAAGAGATCCCGCGTTTGGACTAAACGCGCTCTCTTGGTGGAGGGAAGGCCGCAATAAGTTTCTTGGAAGGGCTTCGCCCTTCAGACCTTCGCACACACCTCCCAACCTCCACGTCGGTTTAAGTGACGTCCTATAAAGTTTCAGGGAAAATAAAAAGACCTCCCTTTTTTGCGATAGGCACGACCGCTATCCCGTTACATCTTATGCCTGTTTAAGAGCGAACCTTTTGTGGCTCGAGTACTTCGCACCCTCGTTTCTGCTGACTTTTCCCGACTTTATCTGGGAGAAATAGCTACACTGACTTTTTTACGTGCTTTCATATCAAATTCCACCACGGCCTCCGGCTCGAGAGCACCGAGCCAATGAAATCCAGGATTTCATCGAAATCACTAAACGCCGGTTACCCATAAACTGAAAGACTCGATACCTCGTAATCTCCCTAATCTAGGAGAAAATCGTAAAACTTTACGTGAAATTAATTGAAATTCTCGAAACCACGCGTTTACGAGCACTACTCTTATTTTTACTTTCAGTCTTTATAGCATCTATTGCTGAAGAAATATATGACTGATGCTTTTTATTGCACGAGAAGTGCTTCTGGAATTTAAATGCTGGGTAAAAATAGAAATGGGAAAGAAGGAGCAGGTTTTGACTCCTCCAGGAGGTCAGATCTCCAGACGAGGCGTGAAACGCGTGTCGGTAAAGAAGGTCCCATTAATCTTCCTGTCATCGTCGACCGATCTCATCGGCCTTTAAGCCCTATTCACTCTGAAAAGGAGCGCTCTCGGGGGCGCGAACCTAACCTCTTTCTATCTATCTATCTCGAGGGAAGTGATTTATCGCGATCGGCCAACCCGTCGCTCCTCGTTCCAGCTCCCTCCCTTTCCCTCCTCTCGGAGGAATCCTCGGGAAAACCGCGTTAGCGATTTTCTTCCCCGTCCTCAAGGAGGTCAGCCCGAGCTCGCGGTTGCATTTTTCCGTTCCGCGGTTTTATCTCGTTCGTCATAAGATGCGCCTCCTCTGAGGATGCTGCAAAGGGACGATGCCGATGCGATACCTTAACAGGCCCTCCTTTTCACTTTTCTCGTAATGGCAAAACACAGACGCGAGGAAACGCACCTCTGAGATACGAGGCCATTTTACACGAGAAGTGTCAGCCGTTCCGACATCGTAACCGGTGCTGACTTCGCGTCCCATAAGAGCACCTTCCTCGGTTATTGAAAAATGATCTACAGGGAATGCAGGACTTCGATTCCCTTAGAAAACCGGAGCCATGGACAGAAAACATCTTTTTATACGACCCGTCGAATTAGAACATTTTGCATCGAACTCGAACACCCGACGTTCCTTCGCGAGATCGAATTGCAACGTTCATTTCTTCAGGAATTGAACAAATGACCGTGAAAAATGTTAAACCTTGAAAATCGTCCATAAACTGTAAATAGTTTTTAGCTGGAATCTCTTTGACGAGGCCGAATCGTTCGTATCGGATTATTTCGGATTAACTCGTAAACGCTCTAACGTTAAATATATAGAGAGATGCTGAAGCAGTCGGCAACAATTTTCCGGGATTTCAGGCAATTTCAGTCAATTGAGGGAATCTGCATCCGGGCTCTCCGATACGCCGAGGGCTCGAATGATATCAGTTCCTCGATATCGGGGCACCGTTCGAAAGTACCGAATTTGGGCGCAGATTTCTAGATGGATGCATTACGGTTCTATCGGTGCAACGCGATTTTTGGGGAATCCATGCAGACGCGTATCGGAAACGAGCGAAGAGTTGTCGAGGGTTGATTCGACTGGTTTGGAATTAATTCGAGGGGCGCAATTAATGTCCGTCAAGGGTAATGAAATAATCAATCCTTTCTAATGCGGTTAAAAAGTCTGATAGAATCGGTCAAATTCACGCCCACGTTTTAAAATTGATAAATTCGGGTTTTATCAGTGCTATGCAATTTTTGCGGAATCCATGCAGACGCGTATCGGAAACGAGGGTGGTCGAGGGTTGATTCGACTGGTTTGGAATTAATTCGAGGGGTGGAACTGACGCCCTTCAAGGGTAATAAAATAATCTAAAAATAATCCATGCTTTCTAGTCAGAAAATCATGAAATGTGAATCGGTAAAATTGAAGCACAAGTCTCTAGATGGATGCATTCGGGTTTTATCAGTGCTACGCAATTTTTTCGTAATCCAAGCAGAGGCGCATCGGAAACGAGGGTGCATTCGACTGGTTTGGGGTTAATTCGAGGGGTGCGAGTCGGGGTGCAACTAACGCCCGTCAAGGGTAATGGAATGATCTATGCGTCTCGACGCCCTATTGAAAATCGAACTTCGGGGTGTCGCATTTGTCGGGCTGCGATCGACGCCCGCGGGCATTTCGGTCATTTGCGAAATATGAATATGAGATTATTCCGCCTTATCGGTGCAACGCGATTTTTCCCGCATATCGGAAACGAGCGAAGGGTAGCCAGGAGTGCATTCGACTGGTACAGGGATGATTCGAGGGGTGCGATTCGGGGTGCAACTAACGCCCGTCAACAATAATGGAATGATCTATGCGTCTCGCCGGCGACCGATTGATAATCGAAATTCGGGCCATCGTGTTTGTCGAACCGCGATCGATTCCTGCGGACTTTATGGTCTTTCGTGAAATATGAACGAGGGATTATTTTTTTTTCTCACCTTTTCGGAGCCGAAACCGCGAGTGCATCCATTTCAACGCTCCAGGGATCGCGGTAACGAGGTTAGAAAGTCGCCGATTTTTCAGAGCCTGCATCGCGACAAGGGGGTGCGGATTTTTCTCTGATAGCGGAACGCTTCACGCCCTATATGCGCCTCATGTATTTATCGAGAGGAGAAACCATGGCCTGACTCGATGGACTTGTCTGGCGAAAGGCTGGAGAAATTAAAAAAAATTACGATTATAAGTCTTCCCAGAACGTAATTACGGTTTTTCCCTGCATACAATTTTTCACGTTTGCGTTCAAATAAAATGGTTCTCCCCCCAAAGTCCACATCAGGTATTATTTTCCAGCGCGGACTTCGCTCCGCATATTTTTTTTTTTAACGATAATGGAGCTTTAGGTATTAATTCCTGTTTTATTGAGATTATTTAATTGAAGATGGAAAAGAAGAGAATTCTAAGGAGAATCAATGATGCATTTAGTTCAGGGATTGTGAACGGATTTACAATGCAATGGAGGTAATAAAAGTGGCCGAGAGGAGATATTTGGGGGAGGAGGAAAACTGCAATAATTCTCTAGAGAACGTAATAATTGTCGCTGTACATTACACGTGATAATACATTCCGTGGGGTTGGTCGCGAGATTCAATTTCATTTTAGATATTCGAAGGTAAGGGAAAAGGATGACGGAGGGTGTTCCCGTAAGGGGTCGAGGAAAGTCCACGGGAATTGGAAAAAGGGATACGCGATGGAGAGGAAGTGAAGGAGAAAAAATTCGTCGCCTCCCGCGATCCTTTAATTAAATGTCGTAAATCGAGATTCGCAAGACCTTCCGCCATTAGGGGGAGAAAGATCATCTCGCAACTGCGGGATCATTTCTGATTTAGAGCTGAAAGCGCTCCTGCGAAACCGAGGAAGAAGGTCCTGGTCGTTTCATTTAATCACAGCTCCGCGCCGACTCGTGACGCACGCATCGCGGAACGCGTGCGGGAATTATTCCGCGAGTAATTATCAAGCGCCAGTGCTGCGGAAACCGCGGCGATAAAGTAATCGAGACGTGACACTCAAGGGACTCGTTGAAGAGAAATTCCCTCGAGGGGAGAGTCTACAAGTGTCGTCGAACCCTTCTCTGCATTTGACTCCTCTCAAGATTTCCACATACGAAAATTCTACTTTTCAAATAATAATTTAAACAATCACTTTCCTAATTTTTTTTCCAATTGTTCCATTCAATTTTTTTCAATCTCTGTTTTTCTTTTTTACAGATGGAGCATTCCTTTACACAGAATTGCAATTTTTCCCTCATGAAAAGGCCGACCCTTAAGCCGCCGTTTCTCTCCCAGCTAATTTCGCGATCTATCCACCTCCGGTCCACTCCTCGACCTTAAGCCCATAAACCTTGAAACGAGGCTCCCGTATCAGGCATTAAATTGATTACCACCGTAATTTCTGAACTTTACTGCGGTTGTTCATACCAGGCCGTTCAAACCCCCCATGTAATGGCCCGAGGTTGATGCGCGCACTTATAAAGGGAATTATGTACAGATAGCACCTGAAGCGTCGTCTTTAAAAGAGAAGAGGCTGAGATTACCATTTCCCATACTTTTCCCCATATAAATCATCCCTGATAAAACATGCCGATCATTTAATATCCGACTTCCGACCCCCGAATAATCCCGTGAATGATATTTCTCACTGGGCGAGGAACTGGAAAAGGTTTATCAGTAATTGTTATCTTTCAGATTCTCATCGAAACGTCAGCGTCGGCTTTATAAAAGAGGAGGCTGACATTTTCCATATTTTTTCATTTACATGTAAAAATTCCTAATAAAATGTCCCGATTATTGTATACCCGACTTTGACTCTCAGATTATCACGGGGTGGGTTTTCGCGTGTTGTGGTGGCCGAAAGGATTTATCAGTAATTTCTCTCTTCCAGATTCTCGTCGAAGCGTCAGCGTCGACGAAGACCGATGCAACGTCGCCGGAAGCCGGCGCAGCGGGCGAGGTCGAAGGAAACGACCTCCTCCTCCGAAGTGATTTCCACCCACGACAGACAGCTCCGGTCGATCGAGTTCTACAACGAGTACAAGCCGAAGTACCAGGTGAAGAGCCGGGGCACTTCAAAGCATTCCTTTGCGAGCAGGACCAGAAGAGCCGCGACGGCTCGCAAGGACAGAGTCTGGGACCACGGAGTGATCCCATACGAGATCGACGGAAACTTCTCCGGGGCTCACAAGGCGCTCTTCAAACAAGCCATGAGGCACTGGGAAAACTTCACGTGTGTGAAGTTCGTCGAAAGAGTGACCAGGGAACACCCGAACTACATCGTCTTCACCGAGAGGCCTTGCGGGTAAGAAACGGCCCAATATCACGGCTAATGGTGACTTATCCCCGAATGACGTCGCCGTTTATCACGTCAACTCAAAGAAGGAAATCGATTTCACTGGTTCCCGAGTGACTAGCCCCAGGATTTCGGTCTCTTAAGAAGGGCAAGACCTCGCCCAAAGATTTGCTCGTCACTAAATCCATACAACTCCGATCGCCAACCCCTGCGTGTTCCCTCGTTTTTGGATTTCTCTCCCAGATCTCACCCCACATTCCCCCCAGCGCTCAATTTGCAATTGTAAATAGCATTGCGCCAGAAATCAAGTCCCCTTCAGGAGGTAAGACCCTGACGGTGACGTGATCATGGCTTGCGACGAGTTTATGGTAGTCCTGGGTACAGTCTCGACACCATGGCGAGTTACAATGGGTATAATATGCGTACAAATTTCCAGGTGCTGCTCCTTCGTCGGTAAAAGGGGGAACGGTCCGCAGGCGATCAGCATCGGGAAGAATTGCGATAAATTCGGGATCGTCGTCCACGAGCTCGGCCACGTGGTAGGATTTTGGCACGAGCACACGCGACCCGATCGGGACCGACACGTTCAGATTGTTCGAGACAACATCATGGCTGGTGAGGGGAGATTTTTCCTAAAATTTTCCACAAGCGTCCTGTCGCGTAGAGACGTCTTGCGAGCGAAACGGCGAGGAGCTTATAAGCCGAGGTCGCCAAGTTCTCGGCAAGACGAGGCGAGTTAAGGTCTCAGACCTCGTCCATCAGAGGCTCGTGTGTTCACAAGTGCGGGGAGATTTATTGGCAGGGGATTCCATCGGATCGCGAGGGTGCAAGATGGATTCCCCGTAAGCCGTAGGGAGTCACGCGAGCGTTTCGCAAGCTCTGCAAGCCCTGCGTTAATTTCGGCAAACAGAGCCCTCCCTTTCCGTCCGCTCGTTTCCGTAACGCCGAGCGATTTTCGGTTAGATTAATGGAGCACTTCAGGGTCCCTCGCATAACGTATCGGACAATTCCTAACACAGCTCGCTCCCCGATATTTGCGCCGGGGATATCAGCTATTAATTAATGACCAGAGCCTGCGTTTGCTCGATCGGTGACTGAGCTTTGGCAAACTGGACCCGTCCTCTCTCTCTCTCTCCGTGTTTAAATTGACAAAGCGGTTTCGCATTCCGGGTCGCCGAACCTCGAAGGCCGGATGGACGAGAATCCGAGCTTGCACACCCGGAAACACTTGCGAATCGGCTTTGATAAGCTCCAGACCACCGTGATATGCGACGGTCGGGGGAAAAGCTTAATGTCACGCTTTACATTACTCCCTATGACTTTTCCACAGGCCAGGAGTACAACTTCAACAAGCTGACCGACGAGGAGGTGAACTCCCTGGGCCTGCCATATGATTACGACTCCATCATGCATTATGCTAAGAATACCTTCTCGAAAGGAACCTATCTCGACACTATTTTGCCGATGGAGAGCGATGGGAAGAAGCGCCCGGAAATCGGACAGAGGATCAAGCTCAGTCCTGGCGACATCGCGCAGACGAATCTCCTCTACAAGTGCAAGAGTAAGCTCGGGATTTCAATTCCAAGGGAGGGTCGCGTCGGCCATAAGTCACCCTGGGACCTTTCTACGTTTCAGAGTGCGGAAGAACTTTCCAAGAAAACAGCGGAAGTTTCGGCTCGCCAACGCATCCGAACACCTCGCCACTGGTCGATGGGGAGCACTGCGAGTGGAGGATAACCGCGACCCATGGGGAACGCATCGTCCTCAACATCACTTCCTTGGACATCTTCAAGAGCGACTACTGCTTCAGCGATTACCTGGAGATCCGCGACGGCTACTGGCAGAAGAGCCCAGTCCTCGGTAAACGTCTACACCTTGGATAGAAACGAGAGAAGGATTTTCGATGGATTTTTCAGACGCCCCTCGAGGTCGCACGAAAGTGCCACTCAACGAGTCAATCGTCTATGACACTATCAATGAAATTTCAATTTTCATATCTGTAGAACAGTTTCATGAAGTAGACCTCTTTGACGTCCCTTTCACATCCCCTTAAGATGTCGCGGAGGCAGGGATGAGTTTTCGGATCGTCTTTAAATGATTGATTGTCGTAATCAGAGAATCGTTTCTTGATCCAGGGCGCTTCTGCGGCAGTGGGAAAATTCATGACCCGGTCGTGTCGACCGGGAGTCGGATGTTGGTGACGTACGTCACCTCGGAGAACAAAAGAAGTTACCGCGGTTTCTCGGCGAATTACGAGGCCGTTTGTGGAGGCGACGTCGTGCTGGACGGCGTCGGTCACTTAGAGTCGCCTAACTACCCCGACGAGTACCAGATTAACAAAGAGTGCGTATGGCGGCTCTCGGTGCCCCAAGATTACCAAGTGGCCCTGAAGTTCCAGTCCTTCGAGATCGAGAACCACGACACCTGCGTCTACGACTACGTGGAGGTGCGCGATGGCCACAGTCCGGAGTCGCCTTTAATCGGAGTGTACTGCGGGTACAAAGCCCCTCCGGACATCCGGTCGACGGGGAACAAGCTTCTAGTGAAGTTCGTCAGCGATGGGTCCGTGCAGAAGGCGGGCTTCTCTGCGACATTCATGAAAGGTGAGGTAACAAACACAAAGCCAAACGAAGAATATCTCCAAGAGTACTTATCAAATCCACATTCGAATCCATCGCGTAGAATTCGACGAGTGTGCCCTGATCGATCATGGCTGCGAGCACGACTGCATCAACACCCTGGGAGGGTACGAATGCTCCTGCAAGATCGGCTTCGAGCTCCACTCCGATGGGAAGCATTGCGAAGGTGAGCTGGATATGCGTTATTACATGCCTTTGTTGTTCCTACTTCGCAATGGATACGGCATATTTCCTTTATATGCCAAGATATTAATTAATACTGGTTCCAGACGCTTGCGGGGGGGTCTACGATCTCAGCAACGGCACCATCACGAGTCCCTCTTTCCCGGAGACCTACCCCATGAACAAGAACTGCGTCTGGGAGATCATCGCCCCACCTCAGTACAGGATCACCCTCAACTTCACGCACTTCGACCTGGAAGGGAACAACGTCTTCCAAGAGGAGTGCGAGTACGACTCCGTGGAGGTGGCTAGCAAACTCGGCGACGACGTCCTCAGGAAGCATGGGATATTCTGCGGTTCCAGGCTTCCGCCGTTGCTCACATCCGAGGGGAACTCTATGCGGATAGCGTTTACCTCCGATAACAGGTAAGTCTCGTCAGGAGTATGCCGAGCGTCTATAGGAGGATCTGCAGGGTCTAATTGATCCAATTAACGAGCCCTCCCGATGTCCCAGCGTCCAGAAGTCAGGATTCGCCGCGGTATTCTTCACCGACATGGACGAGTGCGCCAACAATAACGGCGGGTGTCAACACGAGTGTCACAATACTCTGGGGTCCTACGAGTGCTCCTGCCACAATGGCTTCAAATTGCACGAAAACAGCCACGACTGCACCGAGGGTGGGTGCAAGTTCGAGATCACTGCTCCTCAGGGCACGATCACTTCCCCCAACTACCCGAACGATTATCCTGGGCGCAAGGACTGCGTGTGGCACTTCACCACCACACCTGGCCACCGTATAAAATTGGTAAGATGTGGCGTACACATTAAAAAAAAAAGAAGAAAAAAATAGAAAATATAATCAGTGCAAGTTTAACCTCGGTAATCGATTTCCCACCTCGCAGATGTTCACCGTCTTCGACATCGAGCCTCACCAAGAGTGCACCTACGACTACGTAGCGATTTATGACGGCGATTCGCCCGAAAGTCTCACCTTGGGCACCTTCTGCGGGAACAAACTTCCACATCCTATAAGCGCCACGGGGAACCAAATGTACATGGTCTTCAAGAGTGATAACACTATCCAGAGAAGAGGATTCCAGGCTACACACACTACGGGTGGGTGTGGACCATCGTTCACTTAAGTCTCTATTTAAGGGGATGGGAAAATGGCATCCGAGGAGTCACTCGTTTCTGAAACTTCTCTCCGAACTGGGTGTATCGAACGCCTCCAAACTTCGCAAGGTTCCGCCACCCGTGGAATTTGAATTTTATAAAAAAAAAACTCGCAAGAATATCTGCAGAGAAATTATTAAAAAAATGTATATTCATCGACGCCGCTTTCGCATCACCTTAAGTTCCTTATTAAGCTCATACGCGTAATGTCAACTTCTGGAAACGATTGGATACGTCGAAGCGTCCTAATCTGTAGGAGTCCATCTTATATGTTAAATAATCTGCACGTTTTTTGCTTAGCTTGCGGTGGGCATTTAATCGCCACCGACCGGGTGAAGCATTTGTACTCTCACGCCAAGTTCGGATACTACAATTACGATCACAAGACGGACTGCGACTGGTCGATCGAGGCTCCTATCGGGAAGAACGTCCACCTCTCGTTCCTCTCCTTCCAATTGGAGTACGAGACCGACTGCGGTTACGACTTCGTCGAAGTCTACAGCGGCCTCGACGCGTCCAGTCCAAGTTTCGGGAGATATTGCGGAAACTCGGTGAGAAGTCCCTTATAAATCCTAGATATCCCACACATCACGGTATTAATATCGAAAGAGGAGGAAATAAACATTACATTACTTTGCTTTCAGAACATCACGACGATAATATCGATAAGCGAGGCCCTGCTGATCAGGTTCCGAACGGACGACTCGATAACAAATAAAGGATTCGCGGCAGCCTACGTGGCCATAGACCGCCAGGACAGCGAAGAGATCCTGGAGGGAGGCGAGGAGGAGGAATACGGGAATCTCTGATCGATAATCCCCATCCCGAAGCCGAAATCCGCTCCCACCTCGATTTTTGCTCTTTAATCTCGACCGACATTTAGCTCTCAGCCGTGAGACCGGAACCTCGGCTAGGATAACTCTGGTACGGTGTTTTAGATAACCAGGACTACCCTTGGCCTTCCAGGACTCGCCTGGACCACGGTTTCGAGTCCTCGTCTTCGGAGGAGCCGCCGAAGAGCGAGGTCAGGGGTCAGACGGAGAGACATAGCTATCTGGCTAGATGATAACGAAATACTTAACCGTGAACGTTCGTTAGCGCCTATTGATCTAATCGATCCGATTTTCCTAGGTCCTACGCGTGCCATGTAATTTAGGTAGGACGTAACGTATTATATAATTCGGGCGCGATATCCAGTTTGCTCCTAAGATGAGTCGAGATCGTGGAAGTCGGATGCTGAGGCACGATAAGAGGATGATAAGAGCGATGATGAGTATCCAGTGAAAGGCGCCGGCAGATTATGGAACTGCGAAAATGGGGACTGGTCCGTTTAGCGTCTTAATCTTCATCACTGCCCACGGTCGAGGGCTCCACGTGCTTCGATCATTCCATAAGTCCACGTGGAGATCGATAGATCACGAAGACACGGTCGCGAGCACAGCTGCAACGTCAAAGTTCGATTGGATCGAGATCGATCGCTTAATCATTCTAAAGTCACGTGGGGGGATCGGTAGAAGAACTTGCTCGCTCGTTGCAGTAAGATCTATGTGCGATGGCGATCACAATTGCGATATCAAAAGTCAGACCAGAACCAGATCGTTCGCTCGATTATTCAGGAGGATGACGTGACGATCGGTGGAAACCTCGAGCTCGCTCGTCGCAAGATGATCCATGTGAGATCGCGATCACAATTGCAATGTCAAAGTACCGATCAGAGACGAGCCGCGAGGGTTAATTGTACATAGACAAACTTAGCCGTAGACTTCGACGTCGTAACGTTTTATAAGTAGGCGTAGGGTCGGTACCTCCGACAGTGTTGGAGGGTTCTCTTAATCGTTTCCTTTTTGTACTTTTCTCTCGTCCTGCCAGGAACCGAACGAATTAGAACGATGCGCGAGGGCTTTTCTCTCGTGCTCGAAAAAAAGAAAAAAAAAAAACAATAACCCGATCGCGACCCCAGGTTCATCCAAGTACGTATATCCATTGATGAACCCGCGGGCTCTGGTATTTATTTGACGACGCGGATGAATGTGTAAATACTACTATTACTTTAAGGATAAGCGCGGAAAGCTCACGAACGTATATAACAATGCAGGGGTTGGCAATAAGGAGGAATACGGTCGTTATCGGCGTTCGAGATATTTCAGTATCTCGGGATTAAAAAAAAAAAAAAACATGCCGCGAACACCGCGCTCGAAAGCTGTTACTGCGACCTGTTCTTGAGCCCTTAACATTATTAACAGCGAGCACTTGCATGTAAATGTAGATCGTCCGATTATTACATTACGTATACATATGCGTTTATGCATACATTTGTCCTCTGACATTTATATAATATTAATTATCGAAGCGATGGAAGAAGTCGGGGTAGCGCGGCGAGCAAGGACGCCGCAAGATGGCCGGCTAAATTTTCATCGATTAAATGGCGCAAAAGTTCCGTAAGAATTTCCATAGTGAATGTCTCATTCCTCTATCCTAGTTACGCGCTGATAGTAATTTTTATCATATGCAACGGGGCACTTATTTTTAACGCAAGTGCGAAGGTAAATTCCTGGGAGAGCGATATTTCTAAAGGAGTGATTTTTGTAAGTTCTTTTTTTTTTTTCTTTTTCGCAGAAGAAGTCAACGTTTCCGGCCGAACGCGTTCGCGTAGTAAAAGACAAGTGATTTTATTTCCGTTTGAAAATATAGAATACATGTATTTCTCTTTTCTGGGGTGTACACGATAAACGTAAAACGAGGGACGCAGGTACGTGTTACATGCCATTGCGTCCTTACTTCGTCAAGAGTCGTTTACGATCATTCGTCCTTTATCACAGGCAAAAGTCGCGCGTCTTTGCATTGACGATCTTCGCTTCGGAACACATCCTTTTATCTCTTAAAGCTCCTTGCACAGATTGCACGCCGTCCGAGGCTGAAAATCGGCGGATACTTTTTGATAACGATCGCTTCCCGATCTCCAAAAAGCACCGCCTCCTCTCGTTTTCAAGTGCTCGATTAGAAATGACATGGTTAAGTTTAAATACGTGGAGGATAATTATACGAGATACGTAGAAGAGAACCTGGTAAAGTAAAAAATATGAAGAGTATTGCGACAAGGAAACGAACGTGACTCTCCTCGGCCGTTCCTGCCGAAGACCTTCGCACTAAGCTCGCCGAAATTCTCATTATCGCTATTATTCCTTAATTCTATACAATGATTATTGCTTCGGCATAATCAACGAGTCGACGGTCCGTCTGATACTTTATCATTGGCAAATTTCACGACTCCTGATTGTTTAAAAAAATTAAATCCGGAATCAACATTTTCGCCCGTGACCACGCTAACTCGCGGAAGACCCTCGAGTACATATGTACAAGTATCGAAAAATATTTCAAGACACTAAGAATTTTTTATACTACTTCCAGCTATATATAGAATCCTATGTACAATTCAGGAAGGATCGACGGGAAGAAGTAGAAGATTGACGTGCCTACTCGAAAAATCGATGACCTAGGTCAATCGATGCGTGTAAAAAAAGGATATAACGGAACTGTGCGATGTAAACGGAGGAATTAGTATCGGCAGAATCGTGAAGTCGCCTTCGTTGGGTCACGTTATTCCGTTAAACGACATGGTCTCCCTAGAAACCCTCAAGCGAGAATCCTAATCATAAATAGAGTACAAAAAGTTGCTCTAATCTAGGGAACATCGATGGAACGGATCGACTACCTCGATCAAATCAATCAAACCAATCAAACGTCATTCACGGGACACGAACCAAAGAACGAGTGCTACGTTATTCTCTCTCTCCCTCTGTTTCACTCTCTGGGCGAAACTGAGTTAAGACTTGGAGCTGATCGCCGGCCGGTTCAATTTTCGTCAATTATCAACGTCCATGAACCATCAGCGTGAATTAAACCGTGGATCCCTCTTCGTCCAAGGACCCACGAAACTCTCTTTTACATCACGATTGTACAGCACGGTTTACACCCCGACTTCAGGGTCCTGGTCGCTGGATTTGCTAGGACCTCCACCGTCCTTTGGACCCAGGCCATTCGCCATCCTCTGGTATTGCGGCTTCCAAGCACTCTGGGGACGCGTGTAATCAAGATGATCATACTCCAGGTACGCGTTGTTCTGCTTGATCTCATCGTACAGGTGCTCCGTTTTCTTGGCGTCCGTTTCATCGATACTATGATACATGTTCACGTTGGGATTGCCCGAGTCGGCGTCCTTATTCTTCAGCGAAGCCGTGTGGTCGTACTTCAGGCCGTACGCACCTTGAAGAAGCCAAAACGATCAGCCACACGGTACGACTTTTACGTAAAATATTAATACGCAGAGTAGTTACCTTTGCAACTGTCCTCCTCGTCATCCGTCATGCCGTCAGGTGAGAATTTGGCCCTAACGTTGTTCACGTTTTTCGTGCCGAGATCATTCTTAATCTGGACGTTATTCAGTAGCGCCGTACCGTCATCGGACTTCGAGGTACCTTGATACGAGTACACCGGATTATCAAACTGATTGCGGTCTGGAGAAATACGTGAAATTAGTTGTACAGAGTATGCAAGGTGGGTTGATACGGTTCTTGGAGGTAGACCATACCTGGCGGCGTCACAGGTTCTGCTATGTACTGCACCTGGGCGATCTCCATCTTAAGATTAGCTACTCTCCTCCGGTGGTACATCCAGGCTGTCAGAGTTATGGCTATGACGATTATGGCAGCGAAAACTCCTGCCACCACGCTACCATATCCAGATTCCTCCTCCCTCTCCTGGACATTACGCGAAAACAGCTGTTCGTCACAGTTGGGCCCTGAAGAGAGGAATCGAAATTACCATCATTTACTCATTTCTAGTGCACTCGTTACACCTTTACACTCGTACCTGTGTACCCATGCCTGCAAATGCAGCCCTCGGCGGGGTGACACATGAAGAAGTCGTTCTTGCACTCGCAGGGCACCATGCAATGGTCCCCGTGGTACCCTTCCGGGCAAACTTGAAATGGGAAGAGGTAGGTATAATTTCATTGCCTTCGCCCTAGTTCATCAATTTATGAGAATGAACTTACTCTCCGTACAGTGCGTGCCCGTCCAGCCAGGTGCACAGCGACAATGTCCATCGTTGGGTCTGCACCTCCCACCGTTTTGGCACTTGCAATGTTGAGTGCAGTTCACCCCATAGGTACCATCAGGACATGGGGTTTGGCAGTGCTCGCCCCGCCATCCGGGTAGACATTGACAAATACCTGAAATTAATACCCCTTATCAATCCATCCCGTGCATAAACTTGGTAATGATTTAATTGACGAATCTCCTCCCAGTCCGATGATTAGAACCAATCATATCAAAGTGCAGGAACGAAACCCTGCCGTGCAGAATCTTGATTTGCTGCCTAAGCATTATCATCGTCATGTCACGTCTTAGAAACTCTGGGCAGGCAACGTGATCCTTCCTGATAAAAACTATCCGAGGTTCTCGCGGTGGGGAGAATATATGTAAACGAGACGTCTATTACATGTATAATATATGCGAGAAAAGTCGCGCTTTACCGGGATTACCTATAGTAGCCTTACCGGTAACGTGGTGACACTCGGCTCCGTTTTTGCAGTGACAATGATTAGCGCAATTCGAGCCGTACCGACCGGAAGGGCAGGGATGTTCACAGGTGAGTCCCAGGTATCCAGGTCGGCAGATGTACTTCCCGGTTACGTGGTCGCAGGTAACGTTTCCTGGATGGAATAGTTCACTGGTTTTAATTCCCGTCTCGGTTCTCCAGGTTCCTCGTCCATGTGCAAGCTGGAGCAGCGGAGGTAGAAAGAGATCGCGCAGCGGAGGAGAGATACGTCGCGTTTCCAAGGACGATAACCGGGTGCTCACGTAATTCCCACCGACAATCTCCAAGATCGTCTCTTGGAGTACCTCGCGTAAAATGAGCGCGAGATGGCTGTGGATTCTGCGGTACTTACTGGAACGGCGTCCGGATGATGGGATTCGATGACGAGCGACGTTAGAAGCAACTAATGAGACGTCTACCAGCAACTACTATGTTACGGCATTCCGATAGCAAACGATGTTAATGAGGAAGAAAGCATCCCAAGCTCTAGCGAGCCCCACGTGGACTCCCATCTACTCTGGAGAACATCTTCTATCAAGACGCAGCTGACCCAATACGTCAAAAGTATACATTAAATGGCAATAATCGGTGATCCGACATCGAAGGTGCGCAGATTTAACTGGCAATGAGACATCCCGGAAGTCGAGCAAAATTAAAAAAATTTTTTTTTAACCGAGACTTCACGAGAGAATTGATAAAGAACTGATCTCACAATGGCGGGGATTTTTTAACGCGACTGGATGCGTCTAATAATCATGATACCCGTGGAATCGCTTCTTAATCAATTCTTTCTCTTCTTAAACTCTGTATTGTAAGAAAAAATTCATACCATTTCATTTTGGAATTTGGAACTTAATTTTTTAAAGGACGTTCTCCAAAGCGACGGGACCCACGCGAAGGACCTTCACCGAAATGCAAAATGGCCTTCGGCGGAACTTCTTACCGTGCATCTTCTCCGGGCATTTTTCCTTGCAGTTAACTCCGTACCAGCCTTCTTTACAGGGCTGAGAGCAGTCTGGACCCTCCCAGCCTCTGGAGCACACGCAGCTTCCCGAGGTAGGGTCGCATGAACTATTGTTCATGCAGTTGCACTGAGAGTGGCAGTCATCGCCGTACAGGCCAGCCGGACATTGAGTCTCGCATCGAATCCCTGTTTCATGGTTAAATTCTGAGGTCTAAGCGGAAGCACGCTTAATCGAGTTAACCGGAGTTAATTCAAGCTCGAAATAGTCTCTTCGGCTGGGAGATGGGAAAAGTGTTAGAGACTCGAGTTCGGGTCTAACGATGGCTTGCTGGCATATTTCAGTATACTTTTAAGTAAACAATGGAAGGAACGGCAGCGCCAGAATAAGTTGATGAAATCATTTAATTAGAGATTAGTTAAATTAGGTTTCACCCATCTAACAAGCTGAGGTCGTCGCGGATCGACGACCGGATTTTCGAGTTTCCCATTTAGTCTGGATCCGAAGCGATGAATGGAAAGAAATGTGTCGACGATAACAGGGAAGCCACTACGTACTATGATGAACTAGGCTTTTGATGATAAAGTAATGATTTTCTGGAGAGCTCCCAGGGGGGTGCATCTGTCACCAGCTGCCTCCACTTTGGACCTCCACTTAGACCTTCCAGGGACTTTGGGTAACATTAGCCACCCATAAAAATAGATTCACAGGACTCTTAGTTTAGGAACTTTTAGGAGTCAATATGGAAATAAATCCGGAGTCTGTGGAGTTAGAAATTTAAGGAACGATCGCACCGCAAGCCTTATCCAAAGATCAAGACGAACCTTTGATAATCGAGCTAATGGACCCGCAATCTAAATTACTTGCCGAGGGCTACAAAGATGAGACCTAATCAGCAATCTGAATTATGCGCCGAGGATAATTAGGAAGGATCTTGCGATGAGATAAGGTGCGAAGGTCGGATGGAGGGATTTATGAAACCGTGTTGACGAAGGAGAGGATCTGCAATCTCAATTGTTTGCGAAGGACGGTAAGGAAGGATCTTATGGAACCATGTTGACAAAGGACGGAACCCGCAATCTGAATTATTTGCGAAGGACAGTAAGGAAGGATCTTACGATGAGATTAGACCCTGATATCGAAGGTCGGAAGGAGGGATTTATGAAACTAATTGTAAAGTGCAGCCTTTCAGGGGTTGCATGCGGACTTAAACGGCCAGCTGGGTTAATTCTGCAGCCTAGTCTCCGCATACTACCTCTGAAGCGTTAAGAAAAGGGTGCGGGGGTGATACCAATGGCCGTAAAGACGAACCTCGCCATTCGGGCTTGCAGATGCAGCGTCCAGTAGCCGGGTCGCAGTCGGCGCTGTTTTCCGGATGGCAATCGCAGACCTGCGTACACTCGTGTCCGAAGAATCCCCTTTTGCAACGATCCTGGCAGAACTCCCCGGTGAAACCAGCGGCGCACGTGCATGTGCCTACGCGTCACACAAGTGTTGCATGTCGTGTGCATAGTGCAAGTGCAACCGAGAAATATGGCCCCAGTGCTCGCCGAGCGAGATCGTACGAATGACCGAAGACCAAACTATTCTTCGCGTCGCGTCGCATGATGAGCAAACACTCGAGAAGTCGACGTCGCGATAGGAAGGAGAGAAAAAAAAAGAAAAGAAAAGAGCTCGCGGTAACAAAGAGCAAAGTCTGGACGCGATATCGTCGAATTATTTGACTTCGCGAGGAGTGTTTTGAAAAAGGAAACGAAGGCTCGAGTGTTTTGTAGAGTCTCACCTTACAAAACCTGACGCTTCCCAGAGCGGTATAGGAATTGAAAAGTACGCGTACTCTAAGATAAGGTAGACGGGAATTTCGGTCCAAAGATGTGGGAGTTGGTCCCCTCTACTCGCGAGTTACAATAATTCTCGTTCACCCGGGTGTTCGCGAGTAAGTGTTGCGTCTTACCATTCTGCGGATTGCAGGCGGCGTTGTTGTAACAGTTGCACTTATCTAGGCAGTCCTTTCCGTAAAATTTGTCCGCGCAGGGACGATCGCAGAGGACACCGGTCCATCCTACCAAAACGTCATAGACTCGTGAAGTCGAGGGAATTCTTACTTACCTATGGGAATCCGTCGAACGTGCGCGGTAAGATCGACGTTAAGAACGAGTACAAGACAGAGGAATCTGACACATCAAACGGGATAGATCTAACTACTGTACAGAGAGGAAAGAGAGCTGGTAAATGTGCAAATTCAAACAAACAAATTCTCCGCGGCGAGTCTCTCTTTCTGCTGCCACCGCGTTCTTGCGACTTGCTGGAAATGCCCACTCACCTGCGGTGCAATTGCAGTACCCGTTCTCGGGCGAGCAGGAGGCTCCGTTTTTGCAGGAACACCTCTGGGCGCAGTCTTCGCCGAAGGTATTTTTCGGGCAGAGCTCGTTACAGTCCTCACCTCTGTAACCGGCTGCGCAGATGCAGGTCCCATCAACCGGCGAGCACTGCGCGCTGTTCTTGCAGTTGCACTTGTATTGGCAGCCTTTGCCAAAGAAGTAGTAGGGACAGGTCCTGGCGCAAGTAGTTCCACCCCAACCGGCGTTGCAGATGCATTCTCCGGTCCATGGGTGGCAGAGCTCGGTGTTCTCCTTGTTGCATTCACAAACCTAGTTCGAGAGACTTTGTATAATATTTTCTTCTAGTACAACGATGCAGATGCGTGGTTAGATTACCTTTGCCTGATCTATTTCATCGACCGTTCGACTCACCTGCGTGCAATTCGGTCCCCACAGGCCATCGGGGCACATCCTCTCGTCGCAGTCCTTTCCAGTCCAGCCAGGACTACAATCGCAGGAACCGTCGTGGATCGAACACGTTGCGCCATTCTTGCAGGTGCAGTTGTTCGTGCATCCTACACCGTAAGTCCCCTCCAAGCAAGGCTTCAGACACTGCAGAAGAGGCGAGTATAAACTTTAGGACCTCATCTTACCCAATTTTGGGATAAAAACCTAAAAGTCTCACCGTCTCCCCACGGAAACCAGCTTTGCACTTGCACTGCCCGGTGATGTGGTCGCACATTCCGCCATTATAGCATTCGCATACTTGGGAGCAATTTTTACCCCAAAATCCGGTAGGGCAGCGATTGGCACAGACGGATCCCTGATTAATAATGGAAACTTTAGTTTAGCTAACGAGAACATAAAGACGATAATTTTCTCCAGGTACTTAAACTGTCCTACCATCCATCCGGGAGTACAGAAGCATTGTCCAGTGGTCGGACTGCAGGATCCTCCATTCTGGCACTGACATTCCGACTTGCACTCGTCTCCGTGCTTTCCCGCCGGACACAGGTCGTCGCACCTGCAATCAACAGCGATAACAATGCATAAAGGAGCTGCTAGCACATAACGCGTTACCTTGGCGGCGATACGAGTGTAGGAAAACTACCACATCACCTCTATTTACCCCAGGAAAGCACACGGTCATTACACAATTACGCCACAATTCTGCCAACGAGTTCCACCGGCGACATTTCTTGCTCATAAATATCGAGGTATCCGATGCGATTGGCGTGCCGTAATTATTTTTTTTTTTTTCTATTAACATTGTCGCCGGTAAAGACTACGGCGCTTTTTCATAAACAATGACCCCCTGGGTTGATCTTTCGTACTTATATTTTCATATGCAACTCACAGCGGTCCTGTGTAGCCCGGTGCACAGTGACATTCTCCAGAGATATGATGGCAACTTCCACCATTGCGACAACGGCACTCTTCGAGGCAGTTCTGTCCATACCGATCTGGAGAACACTCCTGGTCGCAGAATTCGCCCATCCAACCCCTGGTGCAGATGCATTTGCCGTCGAAGGGATCGCATCTGGCCCCGTTCCTGCACATGCACTCCCTCTCGCAGTCTCTTCCCCATTTGCCCAGTGGACACTCTAAAAATTTATTAAACTTTTTTATTTATATATATATTATAATCGCAAAGCATCGCAATTGGGGCTGCAAGTGTATTCGATATCTTTGCCAGTTGGAGAACTCACTGATATCGCAAGCAGGTCCACCATATCCAGACTCGCACTTGCACTCGTCAGGCGCAACGCAAGTTCCATGGCGACAATCTTCGGAGCAAACTGGTATACAACGCTCGTTGTCGTTTGTTTTTGTATATCCTTTGCAACATTCTGCCACGAGCCTGCCCTTCTCCACCGCCTGTAACGAACAAGCTCGATAAACCGCGAGGTACACCCTGGAGTAAAGCGTCATGCCTGTTTTCTGACGATGGCGACACCTGAACCAACGCTTTTTCCCGCGGCTCGTTAATTACGCGTCCAACTTATCCACGCAGCCGGAAAAAAAAAAAAAAAAAAAAGAACTCCGAAGACCTAGTTTGCCTCGGCAAGACTTACTAAATCGGCACGAGGGACCAACCTGCGTCTTGTACACGGTCTTGAAGGTGGTCTTGTACTTGGAACACTTCGGTGGGAAATTGAAGCACCAGGTGAACTCTCGCGTGATGTACGGCACTCGCTCGGAGATGTTAACTGTCACCATGTGTCTGGAAATTGCGAATTAATTTCTAATCATTTATGTAACCTCCATAACATACCGTAATTAAATCGGTCTGGAAAATACCAATGTTAAATTCAAGTGATACTTTCAAAGGCACGTGCTGAATGTTCGATGGCAATCGGGAAAAGCAATTAAAAAGGAGTCTTTTATTTATAGTATCATTTTATAATACCATGTCTTGCCTGGTAAAATTAAATTCCCTTTTTTTTTTTTTTCCAGTGTGCAAATTGTCACCGAATTCTTACGTTTCCTTCCGGTTGCAGATGTTAGGTCCTTCCAGATCTGCATCGGTGCCTCTCAAGATCGCCAAGGTTGCAACCACGAGCACCAGCCAAGAGCAGGCAACGTGCCAGACCCTGGAGGCCATCTTGCGTCTTCCAGTCACGCTCGGTACGGCCTCAGCTTGTATACCTCGAAGAAGAGCTCACTTCGACTGCATCTTTGATTCGATTTATTCGAGAAATGGCACTCCTTCGCACTGTTTCCTACCGGCGAAGGTGAAACTGCTTCACCAGGTTCCATGAGCGTCGGCTCTTCTCATCTTCCATTGCCTAGAAAAATAAAACAAGGTGTTTACTAAGTTTCCAATGTTAAAAAGAAGAAAAAAAAAAAAAGAAACTCGACGATACTAATTCAATGTCGATCGGTAAAGCCAAAAGTCCGTCGCGGTGATATCATTTAGTTATTTACACCGTATGCATTTTAATTCGTTTTTCAATTAGGGATGTGTACGTCATTTTGGAAAAATTTCAATTCGACCACGGTGCACCTCGTCGAGGAGGAAAAAAAAAAGAAACTCGACGATAGTAATTCAATGTCGATCGGTAAAGCCAAAACTCCGTCGCGATGATTTTATTTAGTTATTTACACCGTATGCATTTTAATTCGTTTTTCAATTAGGGAAGTGTACGTCATTTTGGAAAAATTCTAATTCGACCACGGTGCGCCACGTCGAGGAGGTTCGTGTCGGGTATGCCGAGCCGACGTAAATGATACGTCAGCAAACGACGACCTGGGGGACCAATAGAGAAGCAAGAAACGCAAATCTCGCCTTATCGCACGGAAGGCACCAACTGGTACCGAGGAGAAGGTGTTGGGTTCCTCGTAAGCGTTCCTCCACTGCGGGAACAAGTTTCCAATTAACATGGCCGAGATGGCGTCAGGGTCCTTTCAAGTTGACTTCGACGGGTTTCGAATGACTGTGGTCGGCAGAAAAGATCGCACTAATTGCGGGACTTTTGACACGGCGGGATATTCTGAGCCGCGCGGAAAAAAGCCAAAGCTCATTCGGCACGATTTAATATTTCCTGGTACTTAGCTTCGGCCTTTCTTGTATTTGCCTATGCAAATTGAGGTACACCATTACTGAGCTTGCTGTTACATCATGACAAGTAACGAGAAAATTCCTCCTAGAAATATGGATCTACGACTGCCCTTTCGATCAGCTGATTCCGAACAGTAGCTGTGTTGTACAAAAATTCGATTAATCAAAATCTGTCATTATCTGCGTTAAGCCTATGGAAAAAAAAAAAAAAAAAAAGAAACTCCCAAAGCAAGAGATCCTGTTAATATCCCTAATTACTGAGAAGGCCGATCTGCGACTGCACTATCAATCAGCTGATTTTGGGTAACGACCGTTTTTACGCGGAAATTACTACAATAGAGGTTGGTCATTCTTCGACTCGTGTAATTGGTAGATTATTAGCATGACCAATCCCATTCGTGACATTTCGTTGTCCGACAAGCTTGTAAAGATCGAACTAGGCCAACAAGTACAGGAACTATTTCGGACGTGCCTTCTCGAGGTGCCACCAAGTCGTTCGATGTGATTTCGAGGCCTCGAAATTCGGCGTAAGAAAATTGTTTAAAAGAGAAAAAAGAAAAAGTATGCCCAGATAGTTTGAGCTGGCGATACCGGAAGTGTCTCGTCGCAGCCTTCGACCGAGCCTCACGATCCATTGATCTGTCAATGAATCACGTGAGCACGTGTGCACCACGCGGGGAGGACTTTACGTTTTTACTCAGACTCGAGTCATGATTCACTCGAGTCATAACCAAACCGGGCATGCAAAGTGATTTTGAAACACGTGACAGGAAGCGTGCCGTTACACATTGCACACTCCGAGGAAAGAAATTGCTCGGCGATTCCCCGAAGTTGACTAGTTCCTCTTAAATACCCTCGTCCAAAACGAATTCTAAAGGAATATCGCACTAAGGAGAAAACAAATTATGTCACGGACTGCCATAACCTGAGGCTGGATGCAGTCGGAAAATCCGTCTCTAAAAGGCGGGATTATTTCGAGATTACGCGAGGTCGCCTAATTTAGCATTAAATCTAAAAGCTATTCCACATATAGAAGCACAAATGTCAATAGAGCCCTCTGTATTTAACGACTCAACGGGAAGTGAGATAAACTTGGGTACTGAAGACTTCGTAATAAAATAGTGCAATGCCATGGACGTCATTCCATGTGTCGATGATTGGTACCGTGTGATCGATATAATCGATGTACTTCCGTACCCTATTACCTTCTAGACCAAACCCATCATCGGTACAACTAGTACTCCGGAATTAGATCATGAAAACAAGGTCAGTGATCCCAATAGATAGGCACACTTATCCGCGTGTACAGAACTCATTACAGCAATGGCATACAGGATCACCGAGTCTTATAATAATACCTACATCAATTGGAGTTAATTATGAAATAATGTAATGTTCATAGGCGAGGTACCCCAGCGAAACGAAAAAAAGCCCTGAACTCACGGAGGATCGTTTCGCATGTTAATACCGTAATACCCCTTACTTCTGTTACTACAGTTGCGCGCCAAGAACATATGCACCATACCATTCCAATTCGCTCCAATTAACGCATTTCGCACTAAAACGCATTTCTAGGAACCCTGCAAACGGTTCTGGAAAATCCCGAAGCGTTATTGAGCCTCACGCAATGCGTGCCAGGGGACAGTTTAATTTTCTCTCCTTTTTTCGATTATACCATGTTTATTTATTTTTTATTTATTACTCTTCAGCTTCTTTTTTTTTTAATGACGCAAATTTACTAGTGCTCTTAAGGTACAGGGTACCTTAAGAGCGTCGTGATGCAGAGAGAGGAGAGAAGTAGAGTTCACGAATAGACGCTATAGGCATCTCGAGAGAATCCCACTCGAGGTTTATTTTGATCGGCTGTTTAGCGATTTGAGAGACGAGTTCTCCTCGGCCAGTTCTTCAGGGCCAGATAGAGAATCCGCAAACGCGAGCACAAGGCCCAGTTGGAAGTGAAGAAAACGAGCGATGTAGGCGGACCTGCTCGATGCCAGTTTTCCGCCATACATCCGAGCCTGTACTCTACTGACGGACTTCTACCCACGCACCGAAGCTTTCAACGAATCACGTACGATCCTCCTCACTGATATACATCCTAGACCCAGAGAATAGTACCATGCACCAGTTTCTCTGAAAAAATATTATCAATCGCTTCCAGAGTAGATTATGGAGAAAAAAGAAACAGTATCTGAGACTTGCCCAGAGAAGGACTCGAAACTGGAAATTTTCCTTCTTCTTGGTTTTTTTAATTAAATGCGTTTTGTTTGGCTAAAATGTTACGAGGAACGTTAAAATGCCTCTTACTGTACGGCTTTTTGTCCATCCTCGGTTTTTTATTCGGCCCCTGGTCCTGGGGTTATTAGAATGCGGAACACAACGGGGGAATGAATGCGGAACCGTAGTCTGCCACTTGAGAATTTCTCGGTAACATGCTGCTCGATTCGAGCTAACGTTCGGTCGGCGAGATGCAAGAGGACGATCTTGGATTTCAGATGAGCGAATCAAAATATGAAAGTGCTTCGGTCGTTGGTATGACGAGAGGACATTACGGTGGTTATTGAAGAGACCCATTTACGGGGGGAAATGGGAAGCCAATTGATTTGAAGTAGCCTCTTGCACGCTCGGGGGCAATGGACGTGTATTGGATTAGAACTCCTAGAGCAGCTGGAAATACTTGAAAGGTTCGCTCCGAAAGATTGACAGGTAAGAATAATTTTCTTCGCCATAATTACGTGACAAAGGATCGGGAAAGGATATCTGGAATATCCTTTACGTGGAGATTAAGGGTTGGCACGGATCATCGCCCAGTTCGTCATCGGCATACTAGTATGCCCACTCACGTGACTATTCAATACTTATTCATTCATGGTACCACTGTTAATTTACGTTCACTAATCCTTGAATAATAGACCCTATTTACGGTCCCTGTTTACCCTGGACTGCAGGCTCTTTTGTAAGTACGGTCATTAAGTGCGAGTTCCCTGAAATTTTCCCAGGAATCGAGGATCGCCGGTGACGAAAATGATTAAAGCTGTTGATAAAACTCGGTGGCCGACAATGAGTCATAATTGTCTATCTCATGGACGTGGACAGGATGAATACTGACAAGAGTACACGTGACAATAGAGAAGCTCCGTATACAGAGTCGCGAGTGTACCGATAAGCTCTCTCCTCCACTTTTTCGTCTCTCTTCCTCCTGTGGAAGATTCATCCTCCCCTCTCCCTCCTTTTTCCTTCTCTCTTCGGTCCTCTTCCATTACTCTCCCCCCTTTGCGCGCAAATTATGCGCACGTCCTCCACTCGCCTCTTCGTTCCTGATCAAGACCAACAATTACACATTCCACAAAGAGGATGGAGGAACACAAGAGAGTGTCATCGAATCATCATCTGATTTCCCTGCCACCATTTTCCTCGCGATTGCATCCACGTTGCTCTTCTCGTTCCCGTATTCCCTGTTTCTTTTATTTCCGCTGCAAGGTATGGCTCCTTTGCGCGGCATTGTTTCCGCCATTTTGCGGACGCGAAGAAGGTATTTTGTGCGGCATTACGTGAAATGGAAACCCGGGTAAGGACAATGGCACGTCTTTGCCGTGGGTTTGGCATTGTGTGGATCTGCATACAGGGCATCGGCTGAACAAGAAGCGCTTCTGAACACCTCGAAGAAGAGGTGCACCCCGAAGAGGCGAACCGGAGTGAAAGGATTCCGCCGAAGAGAATGCAGTTCACGGTACAACGGATTCGCCGCGATTTGGAAATCATTAATTAGACGGCGTAGGATTTTTTTTTAATTTTATTTTATTGCACTTTTCCCTAAGAAGTGTGCATGGAGAAATTGATTGCATCGAAGATCTGAATACGATAGATGTAATTGAACCTGGGATTCATATATTAGGTTGTGGGTATCTGCTGAAAATATTGCAGGCGGTTTTTACAGATTTCACCCTAGGTCTCGGGTTTCGGAACTCTTTACTGGGGTGTGAAAAAGAGTCCTGGGGTTCTTCGTGGACTAGCGTTGCCAGGGGGTGCAAAAACGGGCGAGAGGGTGCGAAAAGGTACCAGAGGGTAGGAGAACGACCCTTCGACTGGCAATCAGTCACCTCGCAGGGAGTTAATTCGTTTACGTAGAAAGACTCACAGGGGCGTACATACGCAAATGACTCACAGGATGTGCGGCTCAAATCGAGACGTAGTCACTCGAACCTCCCAAGTGCAGGATGTGCATTA